AATTTATCCAGTAGAGCTTTTAAAACTGAAAGAAGGGAGGAGAAATGACAGTTCAGACAATGGCTCTTTATTTTGGAAGCCAGTAGGTTGGGAAACAAAATAAGCAAAGGAGATTTCCCCATGAATCATAGACGAAAGCTTTGGAAAGGAAGTTAGAAACAATGGTCATCAGTGCAGACAGCCTGAAGCAGCACATCCAGTGGGAATGTAACACGAGCCACATAATGGAATTTAAAGTTTTTAGTAGCTGCATTTAAAAGATAAGAAACTGGTAGCATTAATTTAACAATATATGTTCTTTAGCCTGAGGGCTTCCCTCATAGCTCAGTTGATAAAGAACCTGCAATGCAGGAGACCCCGGTTCGATTCATAGGTCAGGAAGATCCACTGGGGAAGGCATAGTCTACCCACTCCAGTATCCTTGGGCTTCTCTTGTGGCTCAGCTGGTGAAGAATCTGCTTGCAATATGGGAGACCTGGGTTCGATCCCTGGGTTGGGACGATCCCCTGGAGAAGGGAAAAGCTACCCCCTCCAGTATTCTGGCCTGGAGAATTCCATGGACCATAAGAAAGAAACTGGTAACATTAATTTAACAATATATATTCTTTAGTTCAGTGTATCTAAATTATTATCATTTCAACCTATAATCAACTCTTTATATTAAAATTTTTACTTTCTTTTTTAAAAGCCTTTGGGCTTTCAAAGTCGCATCTTTGAAATCTGTTATGTATCTTACACTTACAACATATCTTGGGGATTCCCTAGCAACCCAGTGGTTAGGACTGTTCACTTTCACTGCCAGGGCCTGAGTTTGACCCCTGGTCAGGGAACTAGGATCCCACAAGTCATGCTGCATAGCCAAATTTTTTTTAAAATTTAAAACTATAAAGTCTAAAACACATCTCAACTTAGGTAAGCCATGTTTTTCAAGTGCTGAAATAGCTACATGAGACTAGTGGTTAACTTACCAGACGGCACAGACCTACCAACAAAATTACTGTATTCATTTCTTTCCTAGAAACTGCTGCAACAAATGACCACAAACTGGGTAACTTAAAACAATACACATTTATTCTCTCCCAGGTTCAGGAGTCTAGGCATCTGAAGTCAAGGTGTCATGAGGGTTGGTTGGTTCCTACCGGCGGCTCCAGAGGAGACTCTATTCCATGCCCGTGGCTGCTGGCAGGGCTTGGTGTTTTTGACTTGTAAATGCATCGCTCCCGTCTCTGCCTCCATAGTCACATGGCGTTCTTTCCTGTGTTCTCTAGACTTTCTCTTCTCCATCTCTGTGTCTTTTCCTCTTATTCTAAGGACACCAATCATTGGGTTAGGGCCTCTTGCAATCCAGTATGTTGTCATCTGAAACTTGATTTTGTCTACGAAGATTCTACTTCTGAATAAGGTCACATTCTCAGATCACAATTGCATGTGAATTTTGGGGGAACATGATTCAACCTAGTATATTTGCTAAACCAAATGAACATAAGATTCACACTGAAGGTGGTAAATATGATTTCATGAGTCACAGAGGTATAGTGGTCTAAGACTCTGGTTTCAGTTCAGTTCAGTCGCTCAGTCGTGTCCAACTCTTTGCCACCCCATGAATCGCAGCACGCCCGGCCTCCCTGTCCATCACCAACTCGTGGAGTTTACTCACCCTCATGTCCATCGAGTCGGATATAGTATAATAGTGTAGGCCGTATCTCCACTCATAGTCTCCTTACCTGCCCCTGACGTCGCCCTCCCCCTAAGAGAAGGAAAAAGCCTATTAATACAGTGAGCTTAGAACCACTGTATCAGAAGACAGTAAGTTAAGTCACACTAGTGCCCATTTGGGTGAACTCAAAGGAGAGATGAAGAATTATTATTATTTGAGGGGAGTTGTTGAGGATCCCTCATGTTGGCCATTAAGCTGGTGCCGAGGCAGAGTGCACAGTCATGGTATGCTTGCTTTGAGCTCCTGTCTGCCAGGGGTGTAACTGTTAAAATAGAAAATCAAATAATGGGTTGGCTTTTTTTTTTTTCAGTCTTTTTTTAATTGAAATATTGTTGATTTACAGTGTTGTGTTAGTTTCAGGTATATAGCAAAGTGGTTCTGTTTTCTGTATCTACGTGTCTGTCCTTTTCTCAGATTTTTTTCCATTATAGATTATTACAAAGTATTGAAGGTAGTTCCCCATGCTATATAGCAGGTCCTTGTTGTTTATCTTTCTTTATATATAGCAGTGTCAAGGTTTTGGCAACACTCAGCATCTCATAGAGAATGGAGAGGAAGCATCTGAGAGAACCATTACTTTAAATCAAAATACTTTCCAAAATGAGAGAATTGACAGTTTAAGTGAAAGTGCTGAGGTCTTGGAAGGAAAACAAGTTGGTGAGCCACGTATAGCAAATTTGAACTTGGATGTTTTTAGACTGGAAAGCGCCAAAGAAAAGATAGGCAGGTATTCTTGAGAATGTAGCAGAGACTAGTGACTCAAAAGTATTAGGAAGCAGAAGAATTTGGATCTGACTGTGATGTTAAAGAAAGATAAGATGGGAACACCCCATGGGTCTTCTGATGACTCAGTTTTTATAGGGGCATTTTTAAAAGACAGAAAGTAAGGGTATGCAAGCAAGGGTGAATGTGTGCGAGTGTCACGCTGGGGGGTTAAAAACACAAAATAAGCCTAGGCTTACAAAAACGTAGGCAGGTCGAAAGTGTCTCAGAGCTTGGTTTGGTGCAGTGTGGTGACTGGGAAAGGAATCATTGCTTTGGACTCTTTGTATAAGGCTGACTAAATGTGAATAAAAAATTTTACTGCTTTTGTCTTTTCTGTTAAGAATAAGGGTTAAGATGAATTAAATCCTTCAACATAGAAAGAATTTGTGAAAAGAATCACAGAACCCTGTCTGTGATCTTTGAAGAATGCTGGGGGTCTTCAAGGAGGAGGGTTTAAATAATGACACCTCCCTCTTTTCTGCCCAAATTCTGAATTTTTAAGGCCAAAGTGGGAAGGCCTCCAGGGGCCTGAATGTCTCCTACGCGCTGCCGAGAAAGTTGATGCTAGAGAATGCAAGCTTCCTAATACTGAATTCCAGACGTACCCCTTAGTAACTGAAATAGGGCAGTCCTCCCTGGGGGCTTGCTGCCAAGAAGTAAGGGAAGGAGGCCCCAGAGTGCTGTGATAAAGGTGTATGCTCCTCTGTTTGGAGCTTCGGATCAGAAACAGGAAAGAACTATCCCTCCCCTGCAAGGAAGGAAGAAGAATGGGGCCATTGCTTTTTTAATTTTTTTTGAAAGAACAAGGAAAGTGGCTTGAAGACTGATGAACTTGGTGCCGATTCTAGGCAAGATTCTAGACAAGATGATCAAAAATGTGATTTCTGAGCACATGTACTAGAAATCAAGAATCATAGTTTGCTAACATGTTTGAACATAACCCATTTTCTTCACTGATTTTTGCTCAAAAAATGTTGGATTATAGGAATGATAAAGTTGTCGTGTCTCTATTTTGACAAGTCACTTGACAAGCTGTCTCTTTGTTTTAGATAAGATGAAAAAATATAGGCTAAATGCTAAAACAGTTGTGTTGATTAGAAATGATTGACTGTTCCTGGACTGATCAGTTTCAGATTGGAAGGACGTTTTTAGTAGCATGCTACTAGATTATCTTCAGCTCTGTTCAGTGTTCCCATCAGTGACCAGATGGGAAACACAAACTGACAATAAGTGAAATAATAGGTAGAAAATAACTTGGTGAAGTGACCATTAATAAGTTAAAATATAAGAGAGGCTCATTCATCTTGTAGGTTTTATCAAGCATCTACTGTGTGCCAGGCATATAAAGATAAATGTAAGGTCCTAAGGCTCAGAACATAAATTAATAAAGTTTATAAACCCAGCTGCTTAAAAATTACATGGGAGAGTAAAACATATTTTAATAATTGTAGATTTTAATGGACTGTGTGAATTGGGAGATGATCAGCTACGATCAGAGAAGCTGAGATCTTAGGAACTGTTAAGAGCATGGCTTTTAAAAGATGAGTTCGTGATGGCAATGTCTACCCAGCATTAGACAACTTCAGAAAATGGCTTCTCTGTAAATGTGAAACTGAATGGGTTGAGAAATTGAATGATAGACAGGTGAGAGAACTGATCCCAGTTAGCCTGGAGATGACATGAAGGGTAGGTGTAATCATTGTTTGTGGGCATCTGAAGAACCACACTGTGGAATAATTGGAACATGTATGGAGTGCATTTCTAAGCATTTGACATGGACCAACTCATAAAAACCTCAGACAGCCACTGAAGTTAATTTTATTCTTACTCAGATTTTGTAGATAAGGAAAGTGAGGCTCAGAAAAGTTAAGTAAGTCCCTTGCTCTGAGTCATACTGCTTAAAAATGGCAGGGCCATGTAGTCTGCCTGTAGGACTAAATTTTTGACCAGAATGCTATTGATATTAAGGGACTAAGTTTGTTCTCCATGGCATTCACTGATTCATTGGGTTCAGTGAATGTTTGGGGGGGGGTTGTTTATTTGTTTTTATTTTAATTGGAGGCTAATTACTTCACAATATTGTGATGGATTTTGCCATACATTCACATGAATCAGCCATGGATATACATGTGTTCCCCATCCTGAACCCCCCTCCCACCTCCCTCCACAGTGAATGTTTTTATAGCACATTTCCAGTAATAACTTCTAAGACAAAAGTTATGTTGTCATTTGTTTTTTTCTTGCAGATATTTTACTGATTGTAAAATTCATAATTTTCATTGTAGAAAAGTTTGGAATGTCTAAAAAGAGAATGAAAAAACTCCTATAACCTTCACCACTCAAAAGATAACCACTGTTAATGCTTTGGTGTATTTCTCCTAATTGTTTAATATTTTTCATAAACATTTTTCAAGGAAAATGTTGACAGTGCTTGCTTTAGCTTTATTGAGATTGTTTTCATACAACACACATTTTTTTTTTATTTTTATAAATTCTGAAAGTTTCTTTTCTTGGCTAGGTTTCTGCCTCAATGCTTAAACAGTTTCCCAACAGTGGCCTGAATCCAGGTCTTTTCAACGTGGGGCCCCAGTTATCTCCTCAACAAATCGCCATGCTGAGCCAGCTTCCACAGATTCCCCAGTTTCAGTTGGTAAGTAGCAGATTTTCCTCCGATAGCCAAAAGGTTTTTTTATTTTTATTATTATTATCACTTGCTTCATTTCATGCAAACTATTGAATGTGTTTAAGGGTTGATACATCCGCTCAACTCCTAAGCACACTCAGTTTGACCAGTAGGCCAGGATCTTGATGGTACTTCCCTCGTGGACACTGATTCAGCTCACAAACCCTTCAGTTTTCCCAGTAAATTCACCTTAGGAAGCTTGGGTCCTCTCTTTCTCCCTTATTTTGTAGGCATGTCAGCTTCTCCTGCAGCAGCAGCAGCAGCAGCAGTTGTTACAAAACCAGAGGAAGCTTTCTCAAGCTGTGCGCCAGCAGCAGGAGCAGCAGGTATGTGGCCTCAGAAGGGCCCCCTAGTGCTCGGTGTGGGAATACAGCTCTGCTTAACCTCTGATGGTGGAAGCGGATGTTGCCTTATCATGTGTCCGTTTTTCCCTTGGGCCTCCTCACTTCCAGCTGGCTCGAATGGTGAGCGCCCTCCAGCAGCAGCAGCAGCAGCAGCAGCAGCAGCAGAGGCAGCCCAGCATGAAGCATTCGCCATCTCATCCCGTTGGGCCCAAGCCACATCTGGACAACATGGTACCCAACGCGCTGAATGTGGGGCTCCCAGACCTTCAAACCAAAGGGCCAATACCTGGATATGGTTCTGGTAAGCTGTTAGCATGCAAACTGCCTGTTGAAAAATATCTGCCAGTCACTTTCTCAGCCTAAGGGTTGGACCTCCATTGCGCTGTTTTCACAGCAGCCGTGCTGGGTCAGTAAATACTCTTATTCCTCTCTTGCAAGTGAGAGACCTGATTTGTTGATATGTTTCCTGAAGCTCGTCACACAATTAGCAGACAGCAGAGACAAGCTTCCACCTTCTCTGGGTCCAAAGAAGTCTTTTATTACTTGTGAGTGGCAGTCAGCTCTTCTACCACCAGGAATTTTTTAAAGCCCATTTGTACCTGCTGTGAGCACTGCACTCGTCTGACATTATAATCGAGTAAATTACGTACAAGTTGAGAGGCATTTAGCTCTATGGATAAAATTACCTTGAAAAAAATGAGGAATTAAAATTATCAGGCAAACCAATAAAATTCTTCTGATGTTAGTATTTCATCTGATTTAAATAGAATTAGCACAAGTAAGGTTATACCTTTGACATTCATCAAGAATTTGTTGGCAGGCGAGTCGTAGCTCTTTCAGAACTGGGGAACATGTTGTAAGCAGAATCCAACCAGCGAGGCAACGGTGATTTAAAAATAAAATACAAAAGTTAAAAACGTACCACCCGCTACAGCGGGTCTCTTCTCAGATTGGCAACATTTTGATTTTCTTTTGGTAAGGACTTTACTGTTCTCTGCCATCTCAAAAACAAGGGTTTAGGGAGACTTGAAAGCTGTACTCAGGTGACAGAGGTGACCTTGAACAAATGGCCTTGCTCTCTGTGCTCTGTGAGGTGCCTGCTGGGGTGAGGTGTCCACTGCCCACTGGGGAGGCCAGGGACTCCTTGATCCTGGGTAGTTTCAAGCGAATTAATGTCTAGATCCTTAAGTTCTACCAACTGTACTTTTTCTGTTAGAAAAAAAATTTGCATATTTATTTATTTGTTTTATTTTTTGACTGTGGTGGGTCTTCACTGCTGCTGTGTGGGCTTTCTCTAGTTGCGTCGAGTGGGGCTGCTTTCTGTCGCAGTGCGTGGGCCTCTCATTGCAGTGGCTTCTCGTTGCAGAGCACAGCCTCTGGGGCATTAGTAGTTGTGGCTCGTGGGCTCTAGAGCAGACTCAATAGTTGTGACACACAGGCTTAGTTGCTCTGTCATGTGGGATCTTCCCAGAACAGGGATCAAACCGGTGTCCCTTGCGTTGTAAGGTGGATTCTTAACCTACTGGACCACCAGGGTAGCCCCTGTAATTTTTTCTTAAAAATGATTTGCATGAGAACTGACTTTTACATTCCATTTGACATAAAAGAAAGTCAGATGCTCCATCATCCTGTATCCTATCAGAGCATGATTCTCTGGAGCTCCAGACAAAGAGGAAGCCTCCCGTGATGACTGTCAATGGTGCCCTTACTGCTGGGTTTCCAGTCCTCACCTTCTCAATCATGTGTCCTGTTAGGGATGAGGCCTGACATAAGAGCCTGGGTGTGCTGGTGTGTGTTCAGTTGTTCTGAATTTAGACAGTGTACATGAGTGATGTGGGGGCATCAATGCTTCTCTTCATCCCCTTTTGTCAAAGGATGTGTAGTTCTTGAAGTGGAATCCAGTCATATAAAGCGAAGAGAACATCTGGAAGCCACGAGTGGCTTTTCCACATGTTTCAAGAACACAGTTCTTTTCAGACCTTCTCAGTGCTCATCCTGAGGGCTTGTCTTAGTTGGGAAGACAAGCACCTAGGAACAGCCCGGGCAGTATAGGTTAGTGAGACTGACTCTTTGAAACAGGTGTTTTCATGGCGAATAGGTAAAGCCTGTGGATTTCCTTTAGAATGAGGTGTGCACTAGTCAGTTAGTTGTTAAAAACCTAGAATCATAATATATTTATTTTCACTGACAGTCTTTATAACATCTTTACTATTTTCTACCCCCCTATTAAAAAGTAAAATTATGTTTTGGCTGTAAATCTGTTCATTTTCAGCAGTGTATGTATACTTCTCTTGTTTATTGAATATATAGAAAAATTTGACCATGATGTCTTATTAATAATATTGTTTGTGATTATTATACTTAACTATTCCCAATGTCCAAAGGATCAGAGTTCAGTATTTATATATATGTACATTTACTGGATACATTGCATGGTTTTTTTTAATATCATTCCTGTTTCATAAGTAGCTTAAAAATTTAGTTATGCATTATTATCCAAATTAAGGAAAAAGAACATACTGACTTACTAACATTCTCATCTGATAACTTAGTAAACAATGGATATATTAGTTTTATTAGGTCTATATTAATTGTGATATGACCACTTATAATCTGCCTTACACAGTGCATTTTGCAGTTTATTTCAGTTACAGTTTTTCTTAATTCATATTACCAATTTATTGGAATTGAATGAGACGGAAAACAAGTCTGACTTGGCTCCCTATTTTGAATAAACCTATAGCTGTAAAGTTTTGATGAAAATATAGGTAAAGCATTTACACAGATTAAAGTTTTTTCAAAAAAATGTATTAAAATGAATGTATATATTATGAATATAAATAGTGCCAAATATAGCAGAGTAAAAAAGAAAAAAGATAACCTGCTAGGCTAAAGACTAGCAAGAATAATTAAAAATTTCTTAATGTTTTTTCTTAATACGTTTTGATAAAGCCTCTATTGATATATTTTCTCAGAATTAAAGAGTCAAATGACTTTCATGACTGCTTAACTAACCCTTAGCTGATTGTTTTTGTAAAATAGTTTCTAATTTTCTGCTTTTAACAAAATGGAAGATACACCTAATTGAATTTTCAAGTGATAATGACCTGTCTAAAAGTTATGTTTTAGTATTTATCTTATTGAACTGAGAGAAGGAAATATATCCAAAAAGTAATGTAAAGAAATAATTGATGTAATTACAAGGCTCCTAGTTTTCTCATCTACATATTTGTGTAAGCTTTCTTAGTGCTTTATAAAGTCTACAAAAATTTTAAAAATAGGAATAGAATAGTGTGAACTAGATCAAGTCACAGTCACTAATACCTGAATAATCTAGATACAAAGTCATTCATCTTATTAGAAAGTGCACTTCCAATAAAATTTTACTTTTTATGTTTAAACTTTATCAAAATATATAATATTTCTGTGTCTATAATATATCCAGTGAAAAGTAGAGATATGAATAATAGAGATTATTAAAATAGCAGAAGAATAACTGTATCCTCCTGGGATTATGAAGTGTCAGCAACACACGTGCATGTGGACATGGATTAGAACAGTTGTGTTAAAGAGGCGACTGTGGATGATTTCTTTTATAATTTATTGCTTATTATAATGATTATGAAACCAGGAATTTTTTTTTTCATCTACAACAAAAAATAGCAGTAGTGGAAAATATAGAACTGTAGACAAAGAGAGTACAGGAGTGATAAATTAAGGACCAGTTAATTTGAGAGTTTCCTCAAGGAGGTTAAGCCAAGCCTTGAGCCGAGTGGTAGTGATGAATAGACAACGAATTAGAGTGTGTGGCCAAGAAAGTCATTCTGGCAAGGACAGATAAGGTGGTCAAGGGCTTTTATATGTAGGAATGATGAAGTAGATAGAAGGTATGTCCTGGTGAAATGAGGCCCTGGGAAAGTCATGGGCATGTCTTATCTCTGATTGTACCTCAGCTCCTAACACAGAGCCTGGCACAAATTAGGCTCTCCATAAATACGTATTGGACTGAATGAAATGGCTTGTTTGATTAGAAGTTCTGTGTCGGGGAGCTGGAGGATCACGTGGAGGCCACTTGATGAACTGAGAAAGTATGTGCTTATTTGCTCAGTCATGTCTGACTCTTTGTGACCCCATGGACTGTAGCCCACCAGGCTCCTCTGTCCATGAGGATCTCCAGGCAAGAATACTGGAGTGGGTTGCCATGCCCTCCTCCAGGGGATCTTCCCGACCCACAAATCGAACCCAGGTCTCCTGCATTGCAGGCAGATTCTTTACCATCCGAGCCACCAGGGAAGTCTGTTGATGAAATGGCAGATCAGGTCTGTATTTTCCTGGATCTAGATGTGTGATAGCTCATGAGCCGTGCAAAGGTCATGAGTGGGGTGCCATCTACAATAGCTTCTAGAGCCCAGAATTTGCTTCATCCTGATTTGTTGAGCACATTCCATCCTCACGTGAGGCCAGTCACTATGTGACATCAAAGAAAGACACAGAGTTACATAAAACGTTGCACTGATTTTCCTCTCATAGTTTTGGGTTTGTAGATTGAATCTTTCAAGGCACTTTTCTCTCCTTTTTGCCTTCTTTATCTTTAATTCCTTTTCCCTTGCCAAACCTTGTTGTTTAATTGTGGTGCTGCCATGTCTGGGTAGCATCGGATCTCCAAGTTTCTAATGAGAAAGATGCCTGCTCTATCCAGGGTTCCAACGAGACAGCCTCAGACGGTAGGAGAGTTAAAGTGGGTGTGGCATGGTGTCTGGCCTGGCTGGAGCCACGCGTCTGCTAGGTCAGAGGGAACTTCCACAGACCCTGTGCTGAGGCATGGTGGGAGCCCTGCCGACCTTCTTGGGTGCCCGTGCTTGCATGTTATTGCTCCACTAACTGTAGCTCGTTCTCCTTTTTCTGTTTATTTTTTAAATGTACTTATTTATTTATTTGGCTATGCCAGGTTTTAGTTGTCACATACGGAATCTTTTAGTTGCAGCGTGTGGGATCTGGTTCCCTGACTGGGGACCAAACCTAGCCCCTGCATTGGGAACGTAGCGTTCCCAATAGACCACCAGGGAAGTCCCCCACTTTTCTGTTTTTTATTAATTATTCTTCCCCTCTCAGTTTCAGCTATTTATTTTAGTCCTTTATTTATCTTTTTTGAGCAACAGTTTTAAAAGTATTTAATATATTCTAACCTAAAACTGATGGTGTACCTTGTGAGGCTCCATCAACAAGCCTCTCCTGTGTGGCTTTAACCTGTCCAGCCCTCTGCAGTGGGAAAATCTTACTGCCAGAGCCCTCGCTAACAGCCTAACACTTGGGGGCACACTCTGAATCTCTCACCAGTAGCCTGTTCAGGCTTTGGGGTCTTCGTCATTGTATAAAAACTTCTTTCATATTGACCTCCCGTGGTCTACCCCATTCTGACACTGTCAGTTCTCTTTGTAAAATACAAACTTAGTTCTCTGTCTCACTTGGTAAAAAATTCCTTTATCTCCTATCTTTGCAGGGGGGCAGGGAGTTCTAGACTCCTTGGCCTGACATAAGTAAGACCCTCCAAGCTACGGCTCTTCATCTCTCCCCAGCTCACTGCATCCATAGTCAGCCAAGCATTGTAGTTACACTGGGCTCCTCATCATTCCTTAAGCACCGCAGATTGTCACCAGTTAGAGCTTCGCACTTGTTTTTCTTGACTCACCCTCCTACCCTAGGCCCTAGATCAGCTGTCCTTCTGCAAAGCCTTTCCTCCCCTAGAGGGGGACAACTTTAGGGCTGCTGTTGCACCATGTTGGTTTGTTGTGTGGACATTATCTCAGTTGGAGAACGGCTGGTCCCACATTCCATTTGACGCAAACCTGAGCTAAGTAGATAACGTGAGTGCACACGTGCCCTGAGATGTTCATTAGATGACATCGTACGTGTTTTCATACCTGAACAGAGTCGTCCCTTTTGTAGCAGGCAGGAGCCCACACCATTTTGAATCAAAATACCTGTTTCTGAGTGAAGAAAACTTCATGTGAATTGGTCTTTTAGTGACCAGTGAAGCCATTTATGGGTTCTGCCTCAGACCTCTTGGTTACTGATACTAGAAACTGATTTTTTTTAAAAAAAAAAAGACCTAAAATGTGCTTCTCCATTTCAGGCTTCAGCTCTGGCGGCATGGACTACGGCATGGTTGGTGGGAAGGAGGCTGGAACAGAGTCTCGCTTTAAACAGTGGACCTCCATGATGGAGGTGCCCTCTGTAGCCACACAGGAAGCCAATATGCACAAAAATGGTAAGACACACAGAGCCTTGTGACCTGGCGCTCTTCCGATCCTCAGAGGCCTTGACACAGGGTCCTGTAAACTTATTCTGAAGCACAGATCTTCAGCTTTTTCTTAAACAGTCTTGATTCCATCCCCCCCACCCCTACCCCTGCCATGATCACTTATGAGAGCAAGATTGGGGTTATGAGTATTTCAAACTGTAAGAAACTTAAAGTGCTAGTTGTACTTAAGGAAAGCAAAATTTTCCCACCTGCAGTAGGATCAAGAGCAGTGTCAGTGAACTTGAGCTCCCCTCAGGGTAAAACCCTCATAAATTGCTTAAGAGAACAGAATCTGTTTTCAGAGCTACGAGAGAGATCACAGTAAATATGTATCATATTGACTTTTTCAACTCTTTGATCTCCAGAAGACGACTAATCGATCAGCACATGAGGTCTGGACTTTGTACCAAGCTTTCTTGTTCTTTATGAATTACAGTGTCTGCAAGACAGCAGTTGAAGGTCTTGCAGGCTTTGGTCGTGAAAGTGAGTCAGCCCTTCATCTCTCTTAATTCTCTGTAAGAGCATCTCCATTTCCCTGTGAAACGGATAAAAGGTCTTAGGACCTTCCTTTAGCCTTTGCTTCAGTGTTTGTTTCACTTGTCAGTAATTTACTTGGACTCTTCTGTATCCATGAGAACCAAGTGTAAATAGGTGTCGGAGTGGCTCCTGCAGCAGCTTCCTGGAGCCTTAGGCCCATTAGTCTGGAGCCTTTCAGGGTTCTTTTCTAAACCTGCTCTTTCAGGTGCCCTTCTGGAGGCTGGTGAAGTGGCCCTGTGGAGCTGTCTGCCTGCTATCCCTAAGTATCATCATTTGATTTCGTATTACAGAGTCAGGAATGGTTTATTGAAATGTCCAATCTGTTTCTGAACTGAATAATCCAAGCTCTGCATCTCTAGCTTTGGGCCCTCTGGCTGCTTCCTTAGGCTTGTGATTCATCAGGACCCTTGTCCCTAAAGACATGATAGGTGTGTAATTATAAATGCACGTGAGAAGTGGTCTTGAAGGTAAAATACTCACTTGCCACTTGAGAGCTTACAGGTCACGTTTTCCCCATCTCCTGAGCAATCCCCAAGGTAATTGAGCTTTTCGTTTTCTGCTTCTTCACTGTAATGTGCCTTTGAGTCAGGTTCCTACCAGTGGCTCCAGAAAAGCAGATGAGTTCTTAATGGAGCATGAAGATTGTTTTGAGAATACTTGTGCTAGGCCACACCAAGCAGATTAATCAGTCGCAAACACAAAAAAAGTTTTTTGGTTTTTTTTGGTCCATGCCGTGTAGAATTCAGGATCTCAGTTCCCCAACCAGGGATTGAACTCATGCCCCCTGCAGTGGATGCGTGGGGTCTTAACCACTGAACCTCCAGGGAAGTGCCTACACAGCTATTTTAATACGTTACCCTGGAAGTAATTTTATCTGTTTATAAGCTGCATCCTTAGAGTACATCAGGCAACACAATATGGCATGTAAAATTCATTCGAGAAATAAGTAGAATGGTATCTTACAGAGGCCACAGTTTTCATTTAAAGCTCATTTTTTGTTAGTTTAAGGGAATTACTAAGCTTTTAATTATTTTTTTCTTGCCTCCCAGCACATAAGATGCATAGAGGGGACCCAACAAAACCCCTGAAACACTCTGAGGAGAGCAGTTCTACAAAGGATTTGCTGTTCTTCGTGTGTGGGGCCCAGGAGCTCAGCACTGCAGAGTTCACGGCTGGTCTTGTGCTGGCAGAGACTGTCGGCAGGAATGCCAGCTCACTGCTCTGGAATTTAAAGCAATTGCAGATGCTTTTCTCTCCAGCAGGCTCCCTCTGTTTACTCTGCTTCTTCCCCTAAGCTAGGCCTGATCGGCACTTAAGGACTTGAGTGGGTTGGTGTCAGTAGAAATGTAGTTAAAAACCCTTTTATGTACCTCAGATTGTTTAGTATTTTTCCCATTCCTCATTCTTGAGTCATTAGTGTAAAGATGGTGGGGATGATTCATAGTTTATGAAAGTTTCTCAAGTTAATTTCATAAGACCATGGAGTTTTAAACTGAAAGGGGCATTCAGAAATGAGAACAGTGCTGTGTGCAGAAGTGCAGACTGAGAAGCTAGAAAGGTGAGATGAATTGTCATGGTCATCCTTCTTCCTAATTATGCACTGCCTCTCAAGTGTGAACACCTCATTCCAGGACCAGATCCTGGAGACCGTATGTGAGTTCCTGTGAATGAAAGCTCAGCGAGTTCTGTTCATAGGAGTCCTTTCTGCTGTGAACGCCTCACCTCTCTTTTTTCTCAGGCGCTATCGTGGCCCCTGGTAAGACCCGAGGAGGGTCACCATACAACCAGTTTGACATCATCCCAGGTGACACACTGGGTGGCCATACGGGTCCTGCTGGTGATAGCTGGTTACCTGCCAAATCTCCACCAACAAATAAAATCGGAAGTAAATCTAGCAATGCCAGTTGGCCTCCAGGTATTACCGTCCAGAAAATGGTGCTTTTGTTTCTGGGGTATCATTTGTTTTGTAACTATTAATTTCAGGTTCTGAACAGATTGCTTTTTGCCACCCACTTTGATTTTTTTCATCTAGTTAATTTTTTCTGCTTTTCTTTGGAAAGTGCAGATTTTCATGGGGGGCAGAGGTGGTCTTTGCTCTGTAGAGTTCAGTCAGGAAGACAGGGTGGATGCTGATCACCTGCAAAACAAGTTACTGAGTAGTAAATACAGCGTGGGCACAGATGCATCAAAGGAAGTTAGCGGAGTGCAGTCTGGGGATGAAAGAAAGGTAACTTTGGAGCCCGAACTTGGCATTTATCTGTGCAAAGGATTCCTTGTAACCTGGCTTCTTCTGAAATGTCCAGTGAATTGATACATTTTTCATTCACCAAGTATTTATTACCAGGTTCAAGGGATGTAGTAGACTAGTAGAGTAGTGAGAGTATTTGCTGTTTTTCCTCTTTTATTCTGATACCTGTAATCTATTTTCATTGTAGAAAAGTTGAAAATTTTTACTAAAGCAAAAATAAAAATGAGTTTTAGTCTGTGTCCTAAACCTTTTTCTATATAGTATATTTGTGCTACGAATACATATAGTCTCTATTACATATATTATTCATATATACTACATACCATTCTTCCTCCTCATGATCTGGAACATAAAAGTTTATTAATTCTGTCATATAGCTCTAAATATGATATAAAGAAATTATAAACACATATATTCTAGGCCTTCTCATGATAAGCCAAATGATTCCTGTCAGTTTTCCCTGGTCATTCCAGGAGTAGCAATCATCTGTGTTTTCTTTTGTGCATCTGAGCCAATTTCCCAGTGAGATAAAGGAGAAGTATCTCCTCTCCAGCTCAGATATTCTCCCAGTTTTCACCTTGATGCCCCCACAGTTGTCCTGAGCACCACACTACTCAGTCCTGCCTCCCAGCCCTCAGGCCTGAATTGGCCTGGGAGCCGGAAGGGCAGGAGCAGGGTCTGCCCCCAACCCTCACTGTCGCTGGTATCAAGTTCCTAGGCACAGAGAGGAAGCAGGTGAACGTGTGGTGACAGCACAGGAGTGCTGCTGGCAAAGCATGTGTTCAGGCTGACTTTTTTAAATTTATTTTATGATGAAAATCTGAGCTAAAATAGCTTCAGAATTTAGACTTTTCATAGACTGATTTCTTTTATCAAAAAATGACTTAACCACATTTTGAACAACTTCCTACCTCGATCTAATATTTGTTCTCCTTGTCTCAGAATTCCAACCAGGAGTGCCATGGAAAGGTATCCAAAACATTGACCCTGAATCTGACCCCTATGTCACCCCAGGAAGTGTGCTAGGGGGTACAGCCACATCTCCCATTGTAGATACTGACCACCAACTTCTGCGGGATAACACCACAGGTAAATAAGTGAAACCCCTCATGTTTATCCAGCACCCAGTATTTTTCTGTTTGGCAATCTCTGGCTTCATTTGTATTCTCTGGTGTCTAGTAATTACACCAGGAAATGCAAGACTAGGTAGCTTTGCTTTTCACATTTATCTTTTTAGATTGTCCTTCCTTTTATCGAAGGTCAAATAAAATACTTCAAGATTTGACTAGTTCCACTGATACGTGTCTGCAGTTTTTTCATCTTGTTCTTCATTTGTCATCTAAAGGGTCTAATTCTTCCCTCAACACCTCGCTGCCTTCACCTGGTGCCTGGCCCTACAGTGCCTCTGACAACTCCTTCACCAACGTTCATAGCACTTCAGGTAGGCATGTGACCCAGTTCCTCCCCTCTGGCTAGCACTTTCCTGTCAGGTTGCCTTGTACAAAGGAAATTGGCGTTTGTTTCTTAAGGAAGAAATTATAGCAGCTGAACAACACAGGTCAGCGTGGATGGAGAGACACCTCTCAGATTGGCCGCGTCCCTGGGGAACTTGGAGGCTCACAGAGGCAAGATGAGACAAATACCATTTAGGACCAAGGCAGATGGTGACATCATTCAAGGAGCTGTGGGTGTTGAGAGGACAGAGGTTATATCCTGATGACACAAGTGCTTTTCTTTTAACCAGTCTGCCAAGAAAATCAGGGGCCATGGGAAGAACCAGTTAAGTTCAGCTTGTTATTTCTAAGGCAGCCAATTAAAGCTTGCTTTTCTCTAAAAATTCTTCCACTTAACAGACAAAGGCTAAGGGCAGATGGCCAAGGGGGGAAAAAAGAGGACCTTGGTTAATTCTACAACATTTGCTGAGTTACTTGTGTGTGTGTATGTGTGTGTGTGTGTTGTTTTGTTTTTAAAGACAGTTGGGAATGGAAAACTTAATGGATATGAAAAAGCCTTTGAAGTCACTTACTTAGCAGAACGCCTTACAGATTGGTAAACCAGTCATTAGTAATTGGCATGTTGGTCTTGCAAAAGTTGGACCTGAAGCCATTAAAGTCATTAAGGCTTCTGCTCTTTGTCCAAGTGAATGCAAGTAAAACAAATTCTTAGCTACCTACCAAGACACTGCAGGTTAATGACCTTACGTATTGCCTTCTTTTTGTTTCCACTTCTGTGTCCTAGCAACAGTACAATAACCTCATTTATTGAGTGCTCCTGCAGACCATGAAGCATGCTAAGCCTTCAGCATAAATTCTTAGCTTACCTTCACCAAAATCCGTGGGGAAGCTCCTGCTATAATCCCATTTTGTAGATGAAGAAACTGAGACTCAAAGAGCTGATAGAATTTATTGTAGGTCTCAGTGAGTGTGTAAAGGAGCCAGCTCCACTTTCCATGTTTCTGCACACCACCCTCCATCATTCTTTCATAGGACTTCGACCATAGTGGTACATTTGTCACAGTTAATGAACCTAGAGTTCACAGTTTTGTTTTTGCTTTTTTCTTTTTGACTGCACTGTGTGGCATGTGGGATCTTAGTTCCCTGGCTAGGGATTTAACCCATGCTCCCTGTGGTGAAAGCTCAGTGTCTTAACCACTGGACTGCCAGGGAAGCCCACTGTGTCCAATTTTTAAGAGGTACCAACGTAGGACTGAAGACCTAGGACTTCTGCCTTTACATGTAAAAATTCATTTTTACCTCTTTTATTCCTGTAACTGCCCACATCCCTTTTTTTATCTTTCGTTTACAACTAGATGATCACCTGAGAGGTGACCCCAGGCATCACCTGGACTTGTTTAAAATTGAACGTATACCTCCTCCCCACCCCCAAAGAAAGAATTGTCTTTCTTTTGTAACTAAACTCTCACTGCTTAGTGGTGCTGTTGTGCATCACTTAGTCGCAGCATCTCTTCCCTTTAGCCCCTTCCTTACTCTTTCATCTCCCCCACTTGCAGGATTCAGGCACTGATAACGCCTCCCAAGTGCTTTCTTCTCTCTTACATCCATTTCTTCTCTTCCATTCTTTGTGCTGTTACCCAGGTTCTAACTCTCATTTGAACACTACCTACTAAATCTGCTGCAAAACTGATAGTATCTAAAACTTGGGTCAGCCCCCAGTTGTCCTGTATGGCCTCCTGTACCTCTCTGCCCCAGGAATTGTTCAGCCACAATTGCAGGGAAATATATTTGGTCCAGAGAGAGTTCAAGTTGAACCTCGGTTTGTATTTTCCTGTCTTGCTGAGCCCATCAATTTCTATCAATTCTTCAAGACTTGTCTTGGCACAGTCTTTGCTGACAGCCCGGCATTCTTTTTCTCCTCCTTGTATTGAGCAAATATGATGTTCCCTGGGGTTACAACTGTTCATCTGTTCCATCTTCCCATCTGAACTTGAAGTTCTTGAGAATAACTGTTTATATTACCCATAGCACTGATTTAGGACCTAAGTGAAGTAAGCGCTTAGTGAATATTTGTTGATTGCAATTTTAAAATCCACTTGAATGTTGCTGTCTACTATTCAGGATCAAGAAAAGTATAATTTTTAGTGTAGTTTCCATTCAGTCAATAAGTATTTATAGGATAAATACGTTAGTTCTGCCAAGGTTCACATTCTTTCATATCTTCTCTAAGACAGAACTTTAAGGGTGATTTCCTTGAATTTATCTTCCTTTTCAGGTTGTATTTAGTTAAGAAGCAGTAGAGAATTAGTTATCTTTTTAACTCTTTGGGCTTGCCTGGTGGCTTAGACAGTAAGGAGTCTGCCTGCAATGCAGGAGATCCAGGTTCAATCCCTGGGCTGGGAAGATCCCCCTGGAGGAGGAAATGGCAACCCACTCCAGTATGTTTGCCAGGAAAATCCCATGGACAGAGGAGCATGGCGGTCCATGGGGTCACAAAGAGTCAGACAAGACTGAGTGAGTGTTAACTCTTTAGCTCATGTGTTAATATGTCAATTCAGAGTCATAGTCACTGAGAATTTGTGTTAGATAAGCTCAGAGAACAATATTATTTTGTTACTCTTGAAACATCTACTTATTTAGACTCTAAAACTATTTGTGTGTATTTGTAAAATATATATGTTTGTTGGCAAAACTGATGTATCTAACCTTATTTCCTTCTTCATTTTCTCTTCTTTTAGCAAAGTTTCCTGATTACAAATCAACATGGTCCCCAGATCCCATAGGACACAACCCCACTCATCTCTCCAACAAGATGTGGAAAAACCATATTTCCTCAAGGAACACTACACCGCTGCCCCGCCCGCCTCCCGGTCTGACCAACCCCAAACCATCATCTCCCTGGAGCAGCACAGCACCCCGCTCAGTCAGGGGGTGGGGGACACAGGACTCACGGCTCGCCTCCGGTGAGGAGCTGCCCAAGGGAGCATCATTGTTCCAACGCAAGGGGCTCATGCTCACACACAGTTGAAGACATTGACGTCTTCACAGGAGAGGAAATCATGGTTGTTGGGTAGAGGGAAAAGTACCTCTTGAGTAGAAAATTGAAGGCAGCCTATAAAAGCACAGGGACCTGAGAACTCCCGAGGCCCTGATGGAGTAAAGAGGAGAAACTTGGGAGCAAAATGTTGTCTTGCAAATAAGGCGTAAGAGTGCGCAGGGTCACAGTCTAGGAGGAGAGAACTGGCTGTTAAGTTCAGGATAACGGTCAGACAGAAAGGAGATTTTTTTTTTTTTTTAATATATTTACTTATTTGGCTGCATCAGGTCTTAGTTGCGTCATTCAGGATCTTTCCTTGTGGTGAATGGGCTCAGTAGTTGCGACATACAGGGCTTTTTCTAGTTGTAGCACAAGGGCGTAGTTGCCCCAGGGCATGTGGTGTCTTAGTTCCCATACCAGGGATCAGACCCACTGCCCTGCATGGCTGGGTGGGTTCTTAACCACTGGACTGCCGGGGAAGTTCCAGGAGAAGATGATTTATAAAAGGAGGCAAGAAACGTGTGTGGGCTCTGTGAAAATGTTTCTCACTTGTGGCGTCTTAATTTTTTTATTTGTTCTTCCTGATCCTTCTTTCTCGTTGCTTCCAGCCTCTACCTGGAGTGATGGTGGTTCAGTTCGTCCTAGTTACTGGCTGGTTCTTCACAATCTCACTCCACAGGTAATCATGCTTTCTTAGGATTTTTCTGGCTGAGACTTGATTGTATTAAGAGAGAGACACTTAAGAGATGTGGGGGTTTAGCAGATAGGAGAGTTCATTTACTTCCCAGTGAGTCTCCCAAACCAAAGCCCAAAGCCTACATCTGAGCCAGGGCGGGGAGAGGAGGGTGTTGGCCACTCGGCTTCATGCCTGCCTCCATGGTGATGTTAACACGTGTAGTTTGTAACGGGTGTAGGGTGGTATTATCTGATGAGTTCTGTTTAGCAGAGATAACTTGTTTGTGGATCTGCCTGTCAGAATCTGGAACCAAGCAAAAAAGTTACCTGTTTCTGTGTTGCTCATTCAACAGGACTTGAGGCTCCCTGTCAACCATTTCTGTGCTTCATTCATATACAACTGACCATAAAGTTCTATGGAGGAGTGTGTGGATTTCGTGACTGAAATGCCACACGTCTGCTCTTGCTTTTCCGTCCATTGTCCTCTTCTGTGTAGATGGCATTACTGATTCTCTCTCACAAGATGTGCTCTCTGGATTGTTGTTACAGTGGTGGGGTTTCATTTGCACCAGATCACCCTCCCTTTCACTTGAGTTGCCTGATAACTGACACGTTTGTAGCAACAGATGTTGAGCACTCAGTGAAGTGAAATGAACCCATGGAAACTGAGACCATGGTCTTCCATTGGACTTGACAGCACAACCTTTTAACAGCACCTTGTAAAAAGAAGTCAATTAGACTTCCCTCCCTTGACACATTGAGTGAATTGTCTGACATTTAATTCATAAATGGATTCACTCACACCTTACTAAGCCAGCATTTTTCAGACTGTTCCCATGGGGTATTAATAGGTCTCTGGCCTAATATGTTTGAAATATATACTTGATTAGACAAAATTAAACAGATACCTTCACTGTAAGACTTATTAGACCCTTTAATATGCTAACATGCATTATGATCCTCTGTGGGGAAATACAGATTCTCTTCTGTATTTGCCCAGTGAACCTATTTGTGGGGAGTAAGTCCAGGGCTCATATTTTAAGGTTCACATTGAGATAGACAGTTTTCTAAATACAGTTAGCATGAGAAACTGTCTGGATTAACTTCCATATCTAATCGGCTCAGCTGAAGTTCCTGGGTTATTTATTCAGCTAAGAGTTGACTGAAGTATGAACATTTTATATAACCACCTTTAGAACTATATATGCCTCACTATTTCTTAAGTTGTCACAGTGTGGTGGGTGTAATATGGTTAGGATGAGAGAAGCAGTGTTGAAAGGAGCCTGTATTATCATAAAAATAGTAAAGGTACAGACTACTCTGTATAAAAGAAGTAAGCTGAAGGGATATATTGTACAACACAGGGAATATAGCCAGTATTTTATAAGTGGAGGGTGATCTATAAAAATTATGAATCACTATTATACACTTAAAACTAATGTAATACTGTAAGTCAACTAGACCACAATTAAGTTTTTAATTTAAAAATAATATTTAAAAAGAAGAATGGTACTTATATTTGTATATAAATGAATATAGGGCTTGACTGAGTTTATATTAGAATTGAGTCATTTTAAAAATCAAAAAGACCGTAGTTTAAAAGAAAGTTATAGGGTCAGATCTTTGGGGTCCAGGATAAATTTATTGTCAACACCTACAGTTTAAGAGGACCTCTGTCCTGAGAAATAACTTGTGACATATACTGACATGCTGATATAGTCAATTGTCGATTACAAATGCTGAGAGCTTTTCTTCAATCATTTTCTATTAAGAATTATAGTGAGACTGGCAGTTTCCATCCTGCAGGATTTCCATGGTAAAACCACAGAATGTTTCTACCACTGCTGTAAGGAACACAACTTTTTAAGGCTGTTTTAGTAGTAATTTGTTTCCCTTCCCCCAAAATGAACCAGAAGGTTGGACTGAGCATCTCCAGTAAACCTAGCGAAGATCTGAATACAAATGCCTCGACCAGAGTGAATCAACAGCTTTGTTCTCTTAAGTCATAGGTGAGGAAGGGCAGTTGTCCCAAATCGCTGAACATCCTCATGCTGAGAGTCTGATAGGGTGAGTGCCTGTAACCTTTGGTTATCCCGGCCGCGGGCAACAGAGGGCACAGAGAAGCAGGCAGAGGTGGAGTCTGTCCTTGGGACGGCCGGGGTAGGAGGAAGAAGGCATCAGAGTTGTCGGAGTGAGGGCGTCCATCAGCATTCTGTGTCGTCAGATGGTCAGCAGTGCCTTCCTTGTTTGTGTCTTTCTCTTCAGCTTTTTGTGAGATTGGAGGAAGAATACTATGTTAATAATGTTGCTCAGAACCATGCATGTTTTCCTAAATTCTAATTTGGTTAACCATTTGGTTTCTGTGTTTTAAGGCTCTACCAAACAACACAGGTTCACTCATTTACCTCTTAAGGAAAATAGACTACAGGTTGAATCATATGCTTTTCGTTTTGAGCTGTATTTATACAAACATTTTTTATCTGCAAAATGGGCACAGGAGATCTGAACCCAGTGCTTTGACTGTCTTTAGATTTGCTTTGAAGACCCTGTATTCAGCGCAGTATATTCAGGGGAGTCCAGTGCAACTCCCCTGCCTCCAGTTCTTCAGTCATCTCTCCAAAACCAGTTTAGTACTGAGGCTGTTAGTTACAAACCAGAAGCCCTCCTCACTCTCAAATACAAGAAAGGTCTCCTGACTTCCTTTCCCCCCACTCCAGTTTTTATCTCATGGCTGTCATTACTCTTTAGATTGATGGGTCAACCTTGAGAACCATCTGCATGCAGCATGGCCCACTGCTGACATTCCATCTGAACCTAACCCAGGGCACCGCCCTGATCCGATACAGCACCAAACAGGAGGCGGCCAAGGCCCAAACTGCACTGCACATGTGAGTACCCATCCTGCCTTCTGAGACAGACATGCATGAGGAGGCACACGTGAGTACCCAGGCACGTGCTTGATGAAACAGGGATGCACAGGACATGCACACAGGTGGCGTCATCACATGACCAGTTGCCTGCATACTGAGGTGGCTGATCTCATCTGCCTACATAAGCACGGATGTCGTATGTGTACCTGAGAATCAGAATTCCAAAAGTAACAGATTTGTACATTTTGATACTGTAAAACAAAGCCACTATTTAGAAATGAGACACTGTAAGTGCTGTCCCTTTTCATAATAGAATCTCGCTGCTTACTTTGGCCTCTTCGTGGGTGGTGATGAAATATTGTGGTCTTAGTTCTGCCTACAGTAGGTGGGGCTGAATCAGACCCTGACCATCCTCCTTCCTGCCACCGTCAAGGTGGTGAACAGGGAGGAGCTGCCTTCTCATGGCTGCAGGTGCCATGATAGAAAGGTTCACACAGAACAAGCAAGCGATGGGGAGGCTTAGACAGTGAGCCCAGCCTGAGATGAAACAGCGCTTCCGATTTCTGGAGCTGGGTCACCTTGATGCTTTGGACTGTTACCTTTTACCTCCAATAGAAAAAAGAGGCCCAACATTATTTCACTTGACAAGCAGATTCTGTATCCCAAGGGATATTGCTACATAATGTCATCCAGTAGTCTTTGGGTATCTTGAGATTGAGTGATACTTTATTGCTCTAAATCAGTACTTCTCAGTCACCTGGTGGTCTGGTTAAAAGACACGCTCTGATCCTGGGGGTGTGAAAGCTGCCAGTGACAGATGTGCTCCTTTGAGTAGCGAGGACTTGGGATACTCCGTCTCCATGCATGCTTCAAGACTTTCCTCAGATGCATAGCTTTCTCCCTCCCCTTTTTTCCAGGTGTGTGTTGGGAAACACTACCATCCTGGCTGAGTTTGCCACCGATGACGAAGTCAGCCGCTTTCTGGCACAAGCTCAGCCCCCTACACCTGCGGCAACCCCGAGTGCACCCGCCGCGGGCTGGCAGTCCCTAGAGACCGGCCAGACCCAGTCAGACCCCGTCGGACCTGCTCTGAATCTTTTCGGCGGGTCCACGGGGCTTGGGCAGTGGAGCAGCAGTGCCGGCGGCAGCAGCGGGGCCGACCTTGCTGGCGCCTCGTTGTGGGGCCCCCCCAACTACTCTTCTAGCTTGTGGGGAGTCCCGACCGTGGAAGACCCTCATAGGATGGGCAGCCCTGCTCCTCTACTACCTGGTGACCTTCTGGGAGGAGGGTCGGATTCAATCTGAACTTAGAACTTTCAACTCTGACCTCGTGACCTTTTTTGGAACAGCAGCAGCACTAACTTGACCTTTTCGTTTTTTTTTTCAACTTGCAATAAATACATTTTTAAAAGGAAAAAAGAAAACGGAGAGAGAAAAAAAAAGGTGGGTCATTGACAGACTGTCTGAGCACATAGTTGCCTCCCTTCTAACTTCAGTTTTTTCGTTTGGAATATGAATCCAAAAAGAGAACATATCACTCTTGAAATACTTGAATCATGAACGCCAACCTAGAAAGACAATGTGAAGCAAGTACACATACCATTTAAATTTAAACACAAAAAAAATTAAAAAAATTAGTTTCTAGTTTTTCACTTTTTTCATGTTATATGGAAGTTGTTGCTAAGAAACATATATACTGAAAAAAAAATAGCTTTTTAACTTTGTTTGCACTGGGTGTGTTTCCGTCCTTAGGTCTACCATGTTTGGGAGGGAGGGGAATTCAAAAGCATTGTTAGGGTGGGGGAGGGAAGACTTGACGGAGCCTCACTTTAAAAACAAAAACATAAAAAACCTAAAAAAAAAAAAAAGGAAAAAATTTGTGATTGGCTGGTTGATAAATACCAGTGTGTTCTGGCACATGTAACTGCCCAGGCATGCTCGTTCTGGTATGTGTGTGCACGTGTGTTCATGTGCATTCGCGTGCATCCTTCTCTGTCTCTGTGTGTGTGTTGTGTGCCTGTGTCCTCCTCTTCCTCCCCACCCCCAATTTCTCAGAAAGCTGCATTGCTGACAGTCTGCAGGCTGGCTGGCCGGCCATCTGCTTTTTATTTTTATTTTATTTTGTTTTTTAACTATGAGAACACAGGAGCCACGAGCACCTCGGGGATCTGCTGCTGCTGAAGCCACCCCGTTGGGCCGTATTGAGATGAACAGAGAGCTTTTTTAATGACGAAAGCAGGGAGCTCCTTTACATCTGCGAAGTAGCCCGAGTGAGTTTTCCGTAGCTTTTCTTTCGACCTAGCAGTAGAGTGGAGCACTGCCATGTCCCCAAAGCCAGGAGAACAGGAGGTACCTCTTGGAGCAACTGTGTGTTTATTTCTGTTTTGGGAAGTAAGTGGCCACTGGGCACATCTGAATATCCGTTCAATTTCATGCTGGCCTTTTTGTTAGTCTGAATGGGAACAGACAATAAGACAGTTTTTAGTGCTGTGATGTCTCGAATGCAAAAAAAAAAAGCTTATTTCCCTTTTCTTGTGTAATCAGGAATGAGAAATTGGTCGGAAAGTCAGGTAATGCTGAATTTAAAATTTCTCTTGGTTGTCTATTTTATGAAAACAAACAAAAAAGGTTGTGAGCAGCCTCCTGCAAGCATCTGCAGCTCCTCCTCTCTGCTCCCTTCTTGCTGAGCGTTACCTGTGCCAGGCCGCGGCGTGTTGGAGCACCGGGCCATCACTGACAGAAACGTTTACTTAACGAATGTTCTTAAACCAGTGTGTACTTCAAGCGTTTCCTTTTGTTTCTCTGTGTTGTGTGTATCCTGTGTATGTGGTTTTGCTTAGGCAGGTATAACTTAGCAAAGACTTTAAGTATTGCACCTTTTTTTGGTTTTGACCTCTTTTTTTTTTTTTTCCCTTGTAATGTTGCTTTTTTTATTTCGGTATTTAAAGACTTTTTTTTTTTTAAGCATCAATGTAGTAGTACTCTGGGCCGAATAGGGGGCAACTTTTAATCCACAGTTATCACCAACATGTATGTACTTATGTTGGAATCAAAATGTATCAAACTGCTTTTTGTGAAGAGTTACAGCAGACCTGAAGGGGTACCCCTTTATACAAAGCAGATGGCTGGCGGGGAGGGGGGAGGGGGGGACATGTGCCGGTGACGTGCTAGCACATGTGTGGACACCCCAGTCTGCATTATACTGTTTAACATAAAGTGCCGACATTCTGTACCAGCAAATACCTGCCCATTCCAACCCTTGGTGGGAGCAGACCTCTACTGTCCTCCATAACTTGCTGCTAGCGAGGACAAGGGAGTTTTTCTTTCTTTAGCATCTTTAGTGAAGGATACAACAATGCCTAATAATGTATTTGACTTATAGCTTGTGTCTGTGGGTGGGTGGGTGGGAGGGTATGTATAGGAAAAGGCAAAAGCTAATTATTTGCATTTAAGTGGTTTTGTGAGACAAAGAATGGGAATTCTGTAGTCCTCTCGGCTTACCCTGTTGATAAATCTAGCCTCAAAGAGATTGGCACACGTAACTCAAGTGAGCATTGGCTCGCTCAGGTCCTTCTGAATCCTTCACGGGTGGGTGGTCAGACTTGAGTTCCCAACGTTGGTTTGGTCCCATTGGATGCCTTGTAGAAAACTAGCTGTGCCGTCTGGTTTTCATCGCCACCACGCCCCTTCCACTCTGCCCACGCACAAAATGTCTCCTTCCAGCCCCCACCGACCGCTCTCTTCGTGGGGGAGGGCAAAACCCTGCCAAGTGTGGTGACCTCCAGCTGAAGAGCAGCTGTGTTCAGATATCCACAGAAGGCTAACTCTGAGTGTCCCTGGGCCGGGCGTGTGTCCGGAGGCTCACATGAGCTTGTGGTGACTGTCCACGCCGCTCTTGGTTCCCTGCCGTGTCCTGCCCCACCCTCCTCTTCCTGCCTGTTGGTTCCTTGACCTGCACTATGGGTTAGTTGAGTTCCTTACGATACTACGGTGAAAGCCGGGTGCTAGAGCCCCTCTTGTTTACAAGACATAATGAGGGATTTGAAATATGTAAAAAAAATAAACATGAGAAGCTAAAATGTTCTTCCATCATAAGCTTAAAGGGAAAAAAACTAAAAACTTAAAAAAAGACCAAAAAGTGCATATATATATACATATAAATATATATTTTAGATGAAGACTAACTCTGGGAGCATTTAACAGTGTTTTTTGTTTTTGTTTTTAACATTTATTTTCCTGCTTTAAAATTTGCAAGCATTCTCAGGAATTCTAGGGTAGGAAGCCAGTTTTTGGGAGATGGTTTATTTAACCGTATCTTATCCTAGATAGACGGCCGTTTCTTTCCTGTTAATAAACTTTTACAAGTTCCTGAAACTTCAGAAAGTTGAAACAATTTTTACTTAAAAAAATGTAAAAAGTAAAGATTCCAAAAGTTATTGTCATACTGGGGATCACACATTTTAAAACACATAGAAATATTTTTTAAAAATTATCAATTTAGCAGCAACAAGTAAATTGACTATCTTAAAAAATATGGGAGAAGGATTAAGCTTTATAAGAGCTCTATCATGGATTCATTTCAAATTATGTATAATTTAATGGGAGAGTGTTTGGTGTATATAAATGGGACTGCCATCACTTTGTTTCTTTCCACTTAAGACTGAGCTAAAATCTCCCTGAGGAATTTTTATTTTTATTTAATGGAACCTTTCTCCCTGTCTCCCCAACCCCAGCAACAAAAGAAAGGAAGAAAGAAACAACAGCTTAAAAAAAAAATAGTAACTCTAATCTGTAAAATATTACGGTTGGATTGCTGAGAATCTATGTAAAGAGTTAGGAAATATAGGTTAATAATTTTTGGAACAAATTTTAAATGTAGGCATTACTAGAAAAAAATATCTATGGATTGTTCTATTAATGAAGAATGTCTGTCTTACCTCCATTTGCTATGGGAGGAGGAGAAAATAGTAGAAGAATCTAATAAGGAACAAGTGATTTTACTTTTTTTAGCTCCCAGCTACTGTTGTGCTCATTTTAATTGCTGTTTTGAAGATCTGCTGCTTAATTATCCCCATCCCTCAGCTGGAGATGTGGATTATTTCCTGTCAGTTTTTGGTGATGTTGGATTCTCCTTTTGTATTCCCTCCTGGGGCCAGGGGTTAGAATTCCCAAGCATGACCACAGCTGCTTTTAAACATCTAAGCTTCCCGGTAGGGAAAGAACCTCCAGCTTGACAGGTAAAGGGAGTGGGTGGGGTTGCTGCCTGCAATTTCTCTAAAACCGCTTTAGTGCCTTCGTACATACACTCAGACATCCTGAGCAGGGGGAACACGTGTGTATGTGCATGTGGTCTTGTCCCTCCAGACGGTGAGATGCCTGCCCGTTACAGAAATTAGAGTGGTCTGGACAGGCCCCAGAGGCAGTGGGCTAAATGCAAAGTCATTAAACAGAGATCAAGGAAATGAAAAGTATGCTTTTATGTCTCGATTATGTGGGATGCCAAGGGCCTTCCTTGCACTGTGCATCAGCTTCTCGAGTGACAGCTGCAGTGACTTGGAACTTCGCTTTGTGTCAGGCCAGTAGGAAAGGGTTCCTGTTTTTCTGCTCTTGTCCTTTGTCTCTTCCCTTTCCCATCAAGCCCCCTTTTCCTTATCATGTTGCTGGAAGCTTTGCTTTAACTGGTTGGCAGTGACCTAAGAACAGGATATAGTGGGGATATAATGGAAGAGAAAAACTTCTTTTTCCACTGTATGCCTTGGCAAGAGCCATCTCTGCTGGGAGGTCAGATGGCTTCAGGACACTTAGAAATGCAATCGAAGCATCTTTTCTTCCACCACATTCTGGCATGGGTTCAGGGGCTTGCTGGTCACCTCGAAATTACACAGATTTACTTTGTGAACATTTTGATCATGTACATTTGAGCTTTCCAGTTTTTACCAGGTTCCTGTCATTTTTTTTAGACACTTGATTACTAGTGGCCAGAGGTGTCCAGCTCTCAAATATCATCAACTTGGTTTCTGTTGACCACATGAGTAGTCAAAAGGAAGGAAGCACTAGAAGGGGAAGGGAAGTCTTCCATCAGACTGGGGACCTCCCCTGGCAATTGAGATCCAGTGCCGTGACCTAATTTTAGGTGTTTAAGAAAAAAAAAGTACAGATCTCCGAGACACTGTGATGGAATGGATGGTCCGTGTGGCATCTCAGATTCCCCAGTCCCCAGCCCTTGATCTTTCTCATTTACAGCATTCACAGATACTAACTTAGCAGCGCTGCAGGTTAAAGTTCCAAAGCACAGTCTTTCATCAGTATCCCCCAGTCAGTCAACATTACGCCTCAGTTGCCATTCAGCCTGTTTTAGCAGCTTGATTTATGATTGCTATGACTCCTTTTCTAAGAACTCTCCCACCTCTTCTGACGTGAATGTAGCATAAGTTAGCAGTGGGTTCTTCCAAGTTCCTGTGGGTTGAATGTGGTGTGTAAGGATATGCAGAAAGAAGAAAAGAGAAATCTCTTTGAGAATTTGGAGGAGAGCTATTGTTAATATAGCTAGCAGAAGCTAAAATTCCACAGGCTCTTAACTAATTACAAGTATTCACTTTCACCACTTTTGTGGGGGGAGGGGCAGTTTTTGTAAGGTTAACAGCCAGATTCCATATTGACCTCTGATGCTGTCTACTTTTTCATTCTGTTGTTTTCTCTCCTGCCATCTTGACTCTTAAACAGAATGAAGATGTCTGTGTGCTGAGCAGAACATTTAGGCCTAGCGTTTTCTCTGCCATGTAAACAGGATATTTTCAGCAGATTTGGCTATAATAGTCATCTCTCGGATTCGGGAACAATTGAGTCTTTATGCAGGAAAGGTCCCCATCCTCAGAGTTCAAATGCAACATGCAACACTCTAGGTTATTGTTCTGAGTTTGGGTTTTTTTCTTTGCTTTTACTTATCTATTACATCTTTAGGAGTAGAGATACATTTTTAGCTGGCTTAAAAAAAAAACTTTCCTCCAGTGTTTTGCCATACTTCATGTATATGCATTAACTATGCTTCTTAGTGTTACTACAACAAGAAATCTTGGTTCCCTCCCCGCCTTGAGTGTACAAATAAGGTTATGTGCGATAGTGCAGATGTAAATAGCCTCACCCATGTGTATAAATAAACTGTCAATCTCTAGACCTCAGCAGTTAATCAGAAAACGGGCTGCCCTCCCCCTGGGCTGCAGACTGTGCCACAGCCTCTCTGCTTTCTTATCCACAAGTACAGGGTATCCACACAGTCTAGAAACAGGCAAGTATATAAGCTGTCATCAAGGTCATCATCAGTCTGTTACAAAACATAGAATATTACCTCTATTTCCAGACCTAGTGCACACCCTGTGATAAGGCCTGTAGGTATACGGCCAGTGCCAAAGGTGTGTGTATTTTCAGAGCTGGTCCCCGTTTGTGGATGATGGCATTGTTTTCTTGACCTGAAATTTGACAAAGGAGGTATTGGCAAAACGTTCTTTATTTGGAATAATCATCGACTTCAGGAATCTCTGAACACAGTAATAACATGATTAAAATTGAACAGTGACCCTGCCCGCTCCAGCAGAGGAAGAGGCCTTGGACACCCACAGGATGGTAAAGGGAACACCGGTCAGGAAACAGCCCTTCTCACCACCAGCTGGGTCTCCATGGCATCCTCGTATATGCAGTCACTTGGTCTAGATCTGGATTAATTCCCAAGTATTTGATCCTTTGAGTGGTTTTTAAACTGGCAATCTCTTGTAATAACCTCCAGCCACCACCAAAATAAAACAGCAAAAGCGATAGAAACTGCCAGTGTTTGCCTCACAGAGTTTAACTAGTTTCCTCTTCAGCTAGCTGGGCATCTGAATTTGTTTTTAACAACTCTGCACGCCAGGAAAAATGGTACTGCCCTGAGCAAAAAGTCTCTGCAAAATTCAGCTGTTGTTTCTTCTTTGTGACAAATGCTTGACTTATTCACAGAAGGAGAAAGGTCAGAAAGAGGCAAGTGTCCTGTTTTAAATGAAAAGAAATAGTGTTTCCCTAAAGCACTTTGTGCCTCTATTTCATTTTCAAACTATAAATCATTGCTTGGAAAGTGAATTCCCAATTGGAATTGATCCCTTTTGAGCCAATATTAACAAGCTGGGATTGTGTCTTTTTTTTTTTTTCCCCTCAAAAAGTGGAATTCCTTCACCGCTGCTGGTGAGTAGCTAAAGAGTAACTGTGGAGCGGCTTCCAGTGTGATTGTGGAGCTGAGTGCCTGCCTTCCCTTTCAGCCCCCCACTTCCCTGGACCTCTTACTGCATCTGGAGGGCCTTCTCCTTGGGCTCCTGAAAGGCGTGCACAGTGCTGGGTGGGCGGCAGCACCTGGCTCGTGGGAAGTGATGGGAGGCAAGCTGCCGCCTTGTTACAGGACCGCCCTGTTACAGGACCGCCCTGACAGCTGAGCTTTAAGGAGAGGAGCAGTGTATCTTACGTGTGTCCACCAAAAATGGAAAAGGGGGGTAGGGTATTTATATAAAACAGAGCAAAAAAACCTTTGGAACCCTTAAACCACATACCTTTTAAAGGTAGCAGAGTTTTCACCAAGTGATGCATTCAGCATGGCACGTCTCGCCAGAAATCTTGGGCTGAGTTAAAAGATAATGTGTTTAAAACACCACCTCCTTTTAAAATTTTGTCCAAGGAGTTAATTTCCTAAGTGTAGTATTCCTGAATGTGCCTTTGTGAGTTCAGAGACTGTCTGTTTTAGGAAGAACCTACCCATTGGGATAAAACAGACGGTCCCCTTAGTCTGTAGGAAAGTCAGCATTTCTCTGGGCCGCCGCTGTGGCGGCCGTGGGTTTTCAGTAGCATCAGTGTTGCACACTGTGGAGTCATGGGGAAGAAGTTCGGGGACTTGGGACAGGGAACGAGGAGGGGATGGTGCACAGATGACGGACACCGGGGTAGTCCAGGAGTGCAAGTTGAACGTCTCTCAGCATTGCCTAGTCTTCTCCGTGTTTATGTGTGTGCGTGGCTGTGGCTGTCTTAGTTTTTGTTTTCCTGTAAGCACTGGAGAATTGAAATCTGGTAACACGGATTTGTGACACATCTGTGCACGTTGAGCGGGCATTTTCTCACTCCTGCCGCGCACAGAGCAGGCAGCGCGTGGCCACCCTTTGAGTCTGTGTCCTGAGAAGGCAATTCTTTTCCCAAATGGTAGTCACAAAACGTTGCTGTTTGTGCGAACAGGGTATATTACACACAAGGAAAAGGCTTTTGAAAGGATGAGTTGGACACGTTTGAGAAAGAAAAGCGAAAAATCAGAAACCATGTTTTATTTCTTCAGAACCATTGTAGTTCAACATTAGAAATCCGCAGTGTCTCCTCCTTTGTTTCACGTTTGCTTTAAACGATTCCGCCTCTTCTCCCCACTCCCTCCTAAAGAGATATCGAGTGAATGCTAAGGGCCATTTCCATAATTCCTCAGAACTCCCCAAAGGGGAAAGCAGTCCCTCGCAAGATTCCTCCAGCTTCATTCAGGAAGACCCGGGGCGATGCTTCTGCGCTAGCTCCGTCCTCTCTCATGGCCTTGAAATGTATTATTATGCAAATGTGAATTTTGATACTGAATTTAAGAAGAGGTTGTTGGATTTTTCTTTTTTTTTCCTTTTCAAAAAAAGGGGTCCCATATGTGGTCATCATTGCTTCTTTATTTTGTAACGTGAATTGTAACTATGCATTCTGCAAAGGGGGGTGGGGTGGGGGAGAGGGCAGAAAGGGGATGGAAGTAGCTTTGCATCCTTGTTCTACGGTTTCTGTGTCCATGGTGTGCCCCCCGTGCTGGCAGGGAAGGGGAGTGAGAGTGAGAAGCCGTAAGGTCCGCACAGTGAGGTATACAGGGCCCTGTGAGCCTCGGCCGGCACTTCCTGGGGGTGGGGTGGGGGGCGCCATTCCTACCAACTAGTGTGGTCCAGGATCTCCATCCTAGCTGTGCAGTGTTAGTTAGCCTGGTGCAGCATGAGGCCCCGAAGGCCCTCCACCCTGCCTCACTACTGTTCTCTCTGGAAAAAAGTTCTCACCCTTTGCTGAATTCAGAACCCTTGCAAGCTCAGGAAACCATGCCTCACTCGTGCTGACCTTAATCTTTATGTCAATTTCAGAAACCACCTCCTCCTTGCTCCATTTTAATTGTTTTTATTTGATGTTTTTAAGTGAATTTAATTGTAAGGAAACTCTCTGG